ATGCCCACGTCTCAGTTACTAAAACAATATCAGGACAATGGACGAAAACCTGAGTCTGAAGCAAAGGCATCTTATTAAGCAAGGATCTGGCATTTAAAACAAAAAGTTTGTAGTAGAACTTTGGTATGTAACCGGTACGCAGGACGGAGAATTATTTAGGGGTATAATTGGAGCTGTGAGGGTTTTAGACGAGCTGGGCTGAAGGCTTGGTAGATCTAAGAGAAAGCGACTTGTACTACCTTTCTTTAGGGCCGAAGTCTGATTCAGTTTTGGGGTCTCACTGTTCTGACGCCAAGCCACAGGAAACTTAACTGTACAGCTTTCAGCGCCCTGTTGAATTGGGGAAGTTATCGATCTAGTGGATGTAGACGGATTTTCATGTGTCCTATGGGGGGGGGGGGGGGGGGGCTATCTGGAGGATTAAGAACGACAACTGGGGCTACTGCTAACATAGGGGCAGGCGAATGCGTCAAGTGGTCTGAATGAGAAGGAGTTGTTGGAGTAAGGCGGAGGGGGGAGTCCAATAACGCAGGAGGAGGATCAGTTAAATCCTCACGACCACTTGTATTATGACCGAGTTGGTGAGCATTTGACTGAGAAGCTGTGGCTTTACGTGAGAAGAGGTACCCAATTCTACGCTCCATGGGAGTAAGATCACGACAAAGGAAAAATTTTGCACTTTCCCGATACATAGAGACACAGCCTCGATGGGAAAATATGGTGTCAACCTCGATTGTTGAAAACAACTTAACTAGGACGAGCGGATTTTTGCTGCGAGAACAAGCGTTTAGCATCGGTCTATTTTGTAGTTGAAACCATTAGAATACAGGAAATTAGTGGCAACATCAACTGACCGAGCGGATCAAGGAACATTTTTCAACAATAACTGTAAGCTCGTTTTTGTCTATCACTAGATTCACTGGCGATCATGTGAACAAGTGAGTCCAGACGCCTACATTCTTGAAAGGGGATATCGGAGATTTTCCCGTCGAATAATTTTCCAAGAATTGAGTGCATATTGCCAAACTTTAGTATTAAATTC